CTAATGTGATACATGTGTCTAAGAAAAATGATAAGGGAATTAGAAAATAGGGAAAAGAATGCAGACAAGGGGAAAATGCACTCATGTAAACAAAGGTAAAAACAGAGTAAATTGAATTCATTACATATGTGATCAAAATTCTTTAGCAAGTTTAATAAGAGAGTCTCTCATAGGAGGACAACTGTCAAAATGGAAGATGGCTTTCTAAAACAGAGGCCCACGCGATAGGAGATTTTGCTCGGGCTAAACTTTACAGCTTTAAATAAACAGTGGATACAAAGAACACCACAAATGAAATAATCAGACACAAAAATAGCCTGATAATTAATAGAGTTCTACAGATCAGATCAGAGATGTAACTCGTTTTTATCACTGGTTTCCAAAGAACCAAATAATTTCATAGACTATAAGCAAAGGACATGAAATTAGAAGCCTTTTTAACTTGGTCTCGTTATATGAGACAACACTCAAAAGTACACTGGAATACCAGCTTTAACTGGCCAGTTGTTTTTGCCATTTTTTTAGCAAGTGATTCTGTGATTCAGACAAAGATGTAAGACACAACAGTAAGAACAACATCAGAAAGGTTCTTCCTTTTTTTGGTTTTGCATTTGTTTCTTGTGTTTGGAGTAGTTCTGGAAGTGGAGTATCTTCCATTTCTACCCAGAGATGTACGCTTTTCAAACAGCTTGGTGTTTACGTGCTAAGAACACAAATAGAGAAAATCCTGGCTTCTAGCCAGACATAACTTCATCTGTATCACATTTTCCAGGTTTGTTCTTTTCTCCTATTGCTTGCTTCTAGGATTTTAATTATAGATTTTATCTACGTGTTTTGGACTTGCTGTTTTTCATTTTGAATATTGAGTCATACATACAATTTATAAGAACGGAAACAAACAATGACAATCTCAGAAATTGTTGAAATGCTCCGAAAAGAAATAAAATATTCGTTTCAATTGAAAATACAAATACAGGCTAAGTGAGACTTGAGTGGCCAGTTCAAAATGTAACTTCACATATGACTAATATGCAAAGGCATTTTTAAAGTGCTCCTAACTACTCTGCAGACACCCACAGACATTCCACGTGCTTCCCCATCCTTTCACATCCTCTGTTGGAACATGTTTATGTGTATCAGTCCTGGGCTTTGAAGCAGCTGGACAAGCTATTTCCTTACCTAAATACCTCTGAGTGATTCATATGCTGAAATGAAATATAGGAATACTTACCTCGAAGTTTGTTTTTGCAAATACTACTCTAAAACAATTTTCATGCTTGAATATTAGCTCTGTAAATATGACTGACAGAATTTCCACGCTTGTTAAAAAACTTGAGCTATTACAGCAACAGTAATACCCAGCTGTGCTCCCTATTAGCTGCTCTCTCAATCTCCATTCAGTGCTTATGGTATACAGCAAGTGACGCTCCCAATAAAATGCAGTAAAAAGTTACTCAATGTAAAATGTATAAACAAAAAGAAATAGGAAAAAAAAAATATAAACCCCAAATGTGAAATATGGGAAACGAGAAATATATTACAGTGATACCTTCGAAGAAAAAATTACAAGTTTTTAATTTTCCCTTCTGAAAAGTATTGTTTGCCAGTATTTTTACTACATCTGTAGGTATTGCAGGCATATAAAATCTTTCTCTTTTTCACTGTCTAGATACATATTATACATACAAAATAAACTGCACATATACATGAGCACACACACACACATAATCTATGGTTTAACTCCAGTAAACCATACAACAGACACTGAAGACTTGTTAATCTTTTCTATAAGCATGCTAACTAAAACGTCAAAATTGTATCCTTTGTAAGATCTCTCTGGTAAGTCTCTTGCATTTGTTCAAGTGCCATGGTACTCCATCAAATCAGTCATGTTAGTCCAAAAAATATATACTGGAATATCCGTATGGGCAACATTCTCTTAGTAGCTTTATTACATAATGAAATAATACCATACTTATCAAACTAATTCACATAATCAGATTTTCCCTTTGACTGAAACAGAACCGCAGGTGCATTTTGTTGTACATATACGGATTGGGCATGTGAGTGTGAGAAGAACGGCAGAAGACTTGCTAAAACAGAATCCTAGTATCGGGTGGGGAAGATTCTTGGCTAAGTCAACAGTACTGAATTATTCTTTCAAAACTTTCTGCAAAGTACAAAATCACTCTACAATTGGAGGCTCATTATTTCTATTCTACGAGCTGAAGTAACTATCTCTGCAGAAATGACTCCCCAAGCATGAAACCAAAAGTTTAAAAAGAACTCTTATTACCTTTGCCAAGGTAATACTATCTCAAGACACACAGAACATCTTAATAGCGAGGATTCAAAAGTATCAACCTCTTTCATAACTGAAAGAAAAGCTGCAGACGCTTGTCTACCTTTGACTGATACATATTTGCTGTCTGGTTTTCAGCTAGCATCCAACAAGTAAAAAAGGGTCGCAAAACATATTTATAAAAAAATACATAAAAGTAAAATGTAGAAAAGTAAAAAAATTCTCTTGGGCTTTAAATTTCACTACAAGAAGGACATTGAGGTGCTGGAGCATGTCCAAAGAAGAGCAATGAAGCTGGTGAAGGGTCTAGAGCACAAGTCTTATGAGGAGCAGCTGAGGGAGCTGGGGTTGTTTAGCCTGGAGAAAAGAAGGCTCAGGGGAGACCTTATTGCTCTCTACAGCTACCTGAAAGGAGGTTGTAGCGAGGTGGGGGTTGGTCTCTTTTCCCAAGTAACAAGTGATAGGATGAGAGGAAAAGGCCTCAAGTTGCACCAGTGGAGGTTTAGATTGGATATTAGGAAAAAACTCTTCACCGAAAGAGTTGTGAAGCACTTGGAACAGGCTTATCAGGGAAGTGGTTGAGTCCCCATCCCTGGAGGTATTTAAAAGACAGGTAGGTGTGGCACTTAGGGACATGGTTTAGTGGTGGAACTGGCAGTGTTAGGTTTATGGTTGGACTCGATGATCTTAAGGGTCTTTTCCAAACTTAATGATTCTATGATTCTAAAATTGTTTGCTATTTATTACAGACAGCTTTCAAGATTAATTATCTTCACAGACACTGCATGCCTAGGAGGTCATAGAAAAAATACCTGAAGGCAATAGAGTATGTAGCTATGGTTTTGCACAATGATCTTAAGTTAAACTCTCCATAGACCATAAAGAACAAACAAGCTTTTCATTCTTAATTTGCCAGAGGGGCTACCAGAAAGATGCTCAAGGAAAGCATCTTTTCCATTGGATTAAGTCACTGTTAATGACAGTATGTAAGTTGATGTTGACAGTAATGTTGATGACAGTAGCAGTAACTTTTGGTCACGCAGGTGGCAAAAAGTTCCACCTCCAGTATTCTGTTGGAGAAAAACCCTGCCAACCCTTCTTTTATGTAGAGATGACTCTCAGGAAATGACAGCCTTTTTGTGGCTGTTTTCTTTTTTCTCAGACACGTAAATCTAGAACCTGATCTCTGGATGTAATAGTCATCTTTGAGAACTTCACTACCTGTGTTTTAAAGTCTAGAAAGGTCCTTATTATATAGAAAACACTCTAGAGATCCAGGACATTTGGATACCAGTCCTGGAAAGAAGAGTCTTATGAGTTGAGACTCTGTTTGCATGAAATCTCCACCTGAAATTGGAGGCATTCACGGGCAGGACGTTTTTGATATTTATTGCTATTTGGAACAGCAACGGAGGCAAAAAAGGATGCCTGGATGCAGGGAGAGTATGCAGTGCCAGTTTGCTTTCCCTAAGATCACAACTGCTGCGGTTACTGTGTGTCACATGCCCTGTATGAATACCTCAAATACAACTGCATTTCCCGGAGCCACCATTCAGGTTGGTTCACATATAGTAAAACCACACTGTGGTTGGCCCATTCACATACTTTCTATCAAGCTAGTGATGCTTTGTATTGAATCCTGCACTAGGGAAGACTGGCTTTGAAATGAGCTGTTCCCTAGCAGTAACCTTGTCTCCCTGCTTAGGAATTTTGTCATCAATGAATGTGAAATGTGGGTGCTCAAATTCACTATATTTCCCCCCTTTTTTTTTTCTGATCTGGCCTCACTTTTAACTACCCACAAGGTATACCCTTTTTCTCAAACAGGTGGAGGTGAACCTCAACAACTCCCTATCAAACCAAGTCTGTCAGTTAGTTTGATACCCAAAATGAGAAACAGGAAAGCCTGTTCAAAGCCTTTGGAGTTCAATAAATTGAGGAAATATGTCATGCTGAGAAACTCAAGCCACGGATGACAGGCACTGCACAGTATTGCAAAGGACAAAAGACTGAACACTTCAGTCACTTATCCTAGAGCTCTCAACAGGAGATGTGACTTCACTACCAGTGGGAAACAAGGAGCAATCACTGTCAGATGAACGGAAAGACTGATCACAGGGTACTACTCTGTGGCAATCAAAGCAGAGAGACCAGTGGAGGAAAAAAAAAAATTGATTCTTTTAAATTCTTTGACATATTTCTGGAAACGTTGAGCAACATCCAGCAGTGGGGCCTTCCCCAAAAGACAGTTACTCAGAATCTGACAAAATTTTATACTCTAAATTAATTTTGGCATGGAAAATAAACTCCAAGAGAAACTTTCCTTCTCCCTTTATTGGATCAGAAAAAAGTATAGTTGCTGTAGAATTGTCTCCTCTTATGGGTATTAAGTATGGTGCTTGTGATGATACTGCAGCAATAAATTCAATTTGCAGCAGTAACAGATGTTTCAACAAACAGAAGGCAAAACAAGATAAACATTCAATAAAAAATTTATCAAATGATTCCTCTTAATATTAGAACAGACTTATTTATTTCTCTAATGAAAAGGGTAAAATATCTTCTCCAAGATGTGCCCTGTCACAACACTGACACTTGCAATGAGTGACATTTTCTCTGGTATTTCTTTTTTCCATGGACGCCATTAAGTGCACTGCATGAATATGAAGTGACATCTTTACTAACATGTAGTACTTACTTATCTCCCACAATTCCCAAGTTGATTGTTGGATAACCATGTTCTTGGATTGTAGCTAGGAGAGTTGAACGGTTACTGTCCCGAATCTTTCCTGGCAAGAGGTCATCTTCAGGATTCAGTAGCTATAAAACAGAAACACTCTCAGTCACTCTCCTTGGAATACTGTGCCTTTACACAAGTGAGAATTTTCTTCTTCAGAGATTGGACAGGATATTCTTAGACAGCTATCATAAAATATATGTGTAAAGTGATTTAGTGAATTTAAATTAATAAGATATGTAATGTGCTTATTTAAGTCCAGTCCTCCACATTGCTTAGTTTGTTCCTATTGGTTTCTGTCTGCAAAACCTTCTTTCTCCTTATGAGTACCTGGCTTCTAATCTCAAACATCAGAATCAAAACACAACCTTTAAGTTTCCAAGTTATTGCTTCTATTTAAATGGTTTTAAAGGAACCTCACTGATGTTGCTAACCTGATTTAAAGGTATTCAAAGAAATATAGAAGTTCATTGTCTACTTACCAATTCAGATGTTTTATAAATACAACAGTCTGTATTGGAATAACAGACAGAAGCTTAAAGCTTGGTTCTTATATCAGTTACTGTTTTGGATGAAAACCTTTCTCTCAAGGTAGTATCATGGCAATTGCCTTACATGGGTTACATATTTTAGAAGTTAAACTACAAAACATACATATGTAAACATGTATTTTATATATATTAGGAATTCTTTTGTAGGACAAAGGCGGCCAACACAATATTGACAGGAGGCAAATAATAATGTATATGTCAAAATTACAGCAATAGTGTTAGGTAGTAAGGTAAGAATAACCAGAAGTGGACCATGGCTAAATTTTGATGCTTTGGCTAGCAGCTCTATTTCTGTGAAGATTTCCATAGGATGTTTAAGAAACCCACTGTGCAGGATCTTTTTTAACACATGATACAAAAGAGAGTGCCCACATCAGTAAAGGACCCTTTAATGACATGCAAGAAACTTCAGACATACAGAAGATACTATTCAGAAAATCATCACCTGTAATCCTTGTAGCTCTTTGGATTTGTTCTTTGGTTAGCAGTATGTTTCCTGCACGACACACCCTGTCTATGTTATGAAATCTGGCAAGATTCTGTCCCAGCAAGGCTGGCCTCAGCCACCCACAGTACCCAGTAGTCACAGAGTAACCTTCCCTGGGGTTGTGGAAGTTGTAAAGACACTACCACATGACAAAATTCAACATATTAAAAGTTTTCAAAATCTTTCAAAATTCAACATATTCAAGCTGTATGAGAATACAGCTATTGGGTTTATGTTTGTGTCTGGATTTCAGAAAGTTTTTCTCAAAGGACAGTCAAAATTATAGGTCAAACTTCATGCTGTCTTTAAACTTCAAACTGACTTTATCTCAACCCACAACTTTTGCTTTTGCTCTTCCTATTCTCTCTCTGTCCCACTGTGGGAGGGAATGAGCGAGCATAGTTGCTGGCTGGGGTCAACCCACAGCATATGTAAAATTAGTAAATTAAGTTAATTGTCAACCTGATTTTTCTGATGTAGTTAAGACAAAGCAATTAGAAAGTTGGTCTGGATTTCTACCAACAGGAGATTGTCTGGATTTCAACATGTGCTACTATTAAAAAAAAAAAAAAAAAGGCACAATACTACAGCAAGGCATTTGGTAGTACTATTCAGTTTTCAAAGTCAGGTTATCTGCCACTAGCACTATAGCTACAGAGGAGGGCTGCTCCAAAGAAATTACTCTTCCAGTCATGATTGGTGGTATGAATTACAACCCTGACTACCCCACAGGTGCTCCCTTGCTGGCAGGAGGAAAGCAGCTGGCACATGGTTAGATACATTACCAAAATTTTCGCAAAGACAGCGTATGAGACTTCTGAGAGAGCCCTCGAGGGAGCAGCTGATTACGGGTTGATCACTCACAAAAATACCTCAAGTCAGCATGAATTGCAGCTCAAAGTGAGTCTACTTGGGAACAGGCTGAAAGTCATAATCCAAAACACTGTCCTGAAGAAGATACAGTAATTCAGACCTTGATTCTAAACACAATTTTCTTACCTCATTCCCTGTTGACATGACTGCAACCACTGGAAACTTGTTCACTTCTACTTCGGTTACTCCAACAGTTGCTAAGAGACCAATCTCAGATGGACCCATGTGGGTTCCTTTAGCCAGCACACATTCACCTCTTTTAATGTCATGTCCTATAGGTCTGAAAATCATAGCACAGAAAAAACCGAAAAAAAACCAGAATGAGATTGAAAGTATATTTCCTTGATTGGTCCTGCTCCAGGTGAGGAGTGTCCAAGGATGTTCATTAGTCAGATTGTTAGTACTACTTATGGTTAAAAAATGACTATAAAAATCACCAGCCCTTCTATTCCTAACAGAGATATTTTACTGTTTATAAAGGAGGCTGTTTACAGACCTGATATCTTGGCCTGGTCGAGCCTGCACCAGGATTCGAACCTCTAGTTCTTCAGTGCCCTACAAAAACAAGGAGATCAAATACAGTCAGCTGGGCTATTCAAAGAAGATTAATCAGCTTTAATTTCTCAGAATTCTACAGAGCTTACAGTACTCATTACACTGAGACCTTATGGTTTAAGCATCATCATTGTTCTCCTGATCTGTGCATCAAGATTGTAATACAATGTGTGCTAAAACTGAACAGCTTTGTAAGAAATTCCGTCTTTGATGAGCTCACCAGGGAAGGACCAGCACTGAATACATAGTTTTACCTTCCTTTTTTTTATGATCCCTGTGCTTATATATCTTTCCTATGTTATGTCCTCTGTTTGTCTGTGGATCTGGCATACTGAGTGGATTCTTTCTGCTCCTCTCAGCCAACCTGATCTGCTTAAACAATTTCAAAGATGGCATTTCAAAAAGACCATTAGTCTGACAGACAATATGCCACTACATCTGCAGAAAGGTGGGAAGAATCTATATGCTAGAGCTGTTTCAGGATTTTCATGTAGATTCCTGTAGTGGAAACTGCTACTTGAGAGCTTTGTACAAATCAGAAAGAGGCTTATTCATCATGTTTATTTACAGTGAACAAGAGACAGTGGCCTGAAAAGTCTGATGCCTATTTTAATTTTTGTGTTTACTTCTTCAGAATTTCAATGGTTTGGTGATTCATTCAATGCCAATAAATGGCACATGACCTATATTGTTAATATTTAATTTATAAGCCCTGCAAATGGGCTGATGATATATACACTCAGCTTTGAGATAATGCCAGCCTGTCAGTAGCACTAAGTCTACACTTATTTGGACTGGAACAGATTTTGGTTTTACATTATCATGTAGTACTTCATACTTTAAGTACCTCAAAGTTATAAATCAGACACTAACATTACAAGACGAACAAGGCATGTCATTGTCATTTGGCATTTTTACAGGAACGATAGTGTTGTATAGGACACTCGGTCTCGTCTTTTTCTATAAGGTGATATGGACTGCATTTTCTGAGTTCAAACTAAGTGCTTTAAACTAAAGGCCCCAAAGTTAAAGTTAATGAACGTGTTGTTACGGATTGTGATTCTGTTTACCTACTGTGAAAATGGATAAATTTAAACCCCTGAAAACCAGGAAATGACTAACAAAAAACATCAACTCTGAAAAAAACTTCTTTATCACAGTATTTTCAAAATACGCTTTTATTGAGAAATCTGTTTCTTTTATACTTGCTCCTGTTGTATAAGAGAAGAGACTATTTTTGGCTGTTAGTGTCCAAAATGGCTGTGCTGGTGCTCAGGATGTCCTTTTATCTCCCTTATCCCCACCTGACACTTTAGGCTCGTGATGAAAATCTGGGGCAACGGTTAGTCTAAGAATTATTTTATTTTTATGAAAGCACTATGGAAAGTGTGACTGTGGACAACATGGTGATGTGCGGAGACTGTTAATTGTAGAACTGATGGATATCCCAGAAGGCTTTAGGAACAGAAGATAATTCAAGGTGGCTAGAAGTAGGGCTTGAAGGGAGGTACGGCATTATGCTGAGAACATCTTCCATTTGGTGTGTATCAGGCAGCATCCTTCTTGCTGTGTATTAACATATTTTGAACTATGTCTGAATGGTTTACTGTGATGGTTGTTAACAGCCAGCATCCATACTGATATACTAATGCTCTTCTTGATGTAGGATCTAACTCTTGTTTTGGTTGATCACATTGGCCTCCTTTTTCCTACAAGGTGACATAAAAACTCAAAAAGAAAAGGTTGTAGACATGTTTTTTGCAAGGATCTTTCTCAATGATTATGCATGTGGCAAGTCGATGAGAATTTTTTTTTCCTGTTGGATAGATGTAATTCCTTTCAGGCCTGTGACTTCTACAGTCATTTGGGGAATGCTTGCTGTGATATTTAAGTACTGCTAACACAACTAGAGGTTAAGGAGCTCCTTTTAAAAGTGCTCTCTGTCTTTTCAGAAGAACATTTTTCAGATGTTAGAGATTTCATTTCCGTTAAATCCCAGACCTGAAGGAGTTCTTAACACTAAGAAGGAAAATATTCTTGAAATATGTAGCCACTCAGGCATGAAAAAGGAGAGAAAAATAACATATTAATTAAACTATACTAATTATTTATGTACAGGATTAGCAGAGTGGCATATTCAAGGACAAGAAGAAACTAAAGAGTTCTACCTCACACTTACAGGCAGGAAAAGGAAGCTGAAGGCGGCTGACCATTCGCTAAAAAATTCAGAATTTAAGCACACAGCCAAATAATCTGGTCTCACATGCAGAGGAGAACATGCACAGGAAAAGTGGAATCCAGGAAGACAGTAATCCAAAGAAGCAGAAAATAACAGGTTATCATGTATGTTGCTCTGCAATGTGATAGTCCTCTCATGATGAGGTGGGCAATGGCCACAGAAAACTTGCTCAGGAAGGCTAATAGAACGATTAACAAGCAGTGAAGGCAATGGTGCCTTTTACGGGACGATATAATCTACACATACACATCTGTAACCTCAAAGCAGGACTGACTCAATAAATTCTCCGTTAGGAAGAAGGCCAGCCTAGACAGCTTGCTGACTTCATCAGATGTAAAAATCTGTGCATTTACAGTAATAAGGCATGAGAAAGGATCATGAGAGTATGTTTCAGTTTTTGCTGTCTTCATCAGCTTTGAACACTAGCATTCATCTGCTTACACCCCAGCTGCAATTGCAATGCTCGCATAGAGCAGCAAGGAACAGCTTGTCAGAACAGCAGCAGAGGAGCAAAGGCTGATTTGAGCAGACAACCATGCACACACTTCATTCCAAAATTGAACTTGGAAGTTGTGTCAATAAGAAACCTATCTTCTTGCCTTAAAATCTGTCAGATGATGGGAAACATGATGATGGTGTCCTGAAATCACAGCTGGGTAAATGAAGGTAATGATTCAGAAGGAATTCTCTGAACACAAAGGAAGTCTAAGATGGACTGTTAGGGATACAGTTGTCTACAGACAGCTCCTGTGCTTCATCAAGAGACACAGTTTACTTTGTTAAGACAACTGTGCATACGGAATTAGTACTACAGTACTCATCCTTCTTCAGTGGTATTTTCCAGCATCTGTAAGGTAGAGTGCTAATGATTTATTGGTATGCTGGAAAATCTGTTCAAATTAAACAGAGTTAAGACTATGTTCCGGGGCAATATGCACCTTATCCATTTCCTGGGTTTCAGAGGCCTTAAATTCAGTAATTTTCTCATTTTAAAGGAGCACAGAACTTTCTATTAAAGAAACTTAGTTATGGTTTAAAAAAACGTGGGGGGCACTTACTTGCCCTGTTACTTAATAAAAACCCTTCTTATTCTAAACGTATGGATTTATTCTAAGGTATGTGCACAAGACACGTTCTCCAAAATTCACCAAATTCACCTTTGCTGTAACGAGACCAACTCTGATAATACAGAACCATCTTCATAGCATAGTTCAAAATAATCCAAGTCATCCCATCGATTTTGCAGCACTTAAAATAGTTCGTTTTTCCACAGCAAATCATATTCAGCTTTAATTACATCAGCGATAATGCTGCACTGTAATATTTCGATGTATTATTCTGGGATCAATATGCATTTTAAGAAAACTTTTCCCCTTCTTTCTTGGTGAGTTTAGGAGAACTTTTAAAGTCCTCATCTCGCTCAGTTTGAGGATGATCCTGAAATATAAAGAAGATTGCTCTACTACTAAATGTGAACTCAGTAGAAAAGAAGGAAATATAATGTCTGATTGCCACTACGCTGTATTTTAAAATGTGAATACGCTAAGCACTCAAATTGGCCTGTAGTTATGGATCTCCAGAAGGCATTTGCCTTTCACTCAAATCATGCTCCCAAATACTTTGGTGTTAGCATTCAACACCTGTGATGAAAAATCAATGTCAGGACAGGCAGGTCTGCAGTACTGTTAGCACAGCCTGAAAAAGTGAGTAGAAAAAGTTGCCACTAGGAACTGATGTGAAAATCCTCAAACTCCTGAGATTACCAGAAGAGCTTTTCTGTAGGACTATCTTTCATATTTACAGGATTGTATCATGAGCCATTTTCTGCTGCACGCAAAAGAAAAATGAGTTTCAATTTGTGACTTACATCATCTGATTCCCTGATAAGCTCTGTATCTTCCACTTGCACCACTGCATCAGCACCACATGGAATTGGAGCACCGGTTGTAACGCGCATTACCTGACCAGGCATCACAGTCTGAGTTGGCTGAAAAATAAGCAAACAAAAATTAATTTACTTTTGAAAAGAAAAATCTCAAACCGTTTGAACTTTATGGAAGTAATCTGAAAGACTAAAATTCTTATTTGTGGCATGACTCTTGCTATACTGCTAGTGATATCAACAGGTATAAACTCCAATGTATTTAAAGATCATTAGGTCATTGCTTCAGATCTGGCTTTTTTTATATGGTCACATGTTAGCTGGCTTCAGATTTTTCCCCTTCGATTTCTATCACAAGAATAACTTTCAGAAGAAGCAATATACTGATACTCTGGTTGCCTCAGAAAAATAACTGGCTCAGAAATATAACAGTTAGATGGTGACCTCCTAGAAACTTGCATGAGCAAAAATCTAGTAGTTCTCTGGACATAAATATTTTTGCAGAGTACTCTGGTCCCCAGGGTTGAAATTTCCTTGCTTTTGTTCGGTTGGGTTTTTGTTCTGTTTTGTTTTACCAGCACACTATATATGGAAAACCAGCAGCTTGTAAGTAAAGTAATGTAACCAGCTGCTTCATTTTTAAGCAGATTTCTTCATACTGAGAGACAGCTCAACACTAGTTCACATGGCATATCTATCTTTGTGAGGGTCAGTTTAGCAAAGCCTAACATTGACAATTTTCTACAATTATGTAAAGTCACAGAACATTACAAAGTTTCAGCAGAAGCAATACAAAGAACAAAAATATCAGAACAACATGATAAAACAAATGACATGGTTTTAATAAAATTTCTCACCAGGCAGCCTATTTTAATACTTTTTTTAAAAAATCCAGAGTAAAACTGTAATTTGACCATAACCACTTCAGAAATAAATAACTAAATGAAAAATCTTTCTAAAAAAATGCAACTAAAAGAAGCTGGTATGATGATTGAGATTTCATTGCTGGAATAGGAGTGCTTGCTCCCCGCAGCACTTCAGTAAGCCCAACTTATTTAGGCTTTAGTGTTATTAGTGAACATGTGCTACACACAGATCTACACAGCTGTGATCAGGCCAACATATTCTGTACGTGTCACACGTATAATTCATGTGCACATTGACTCTATATTCCATATGCAGCATTGGAATATGTCCAGGACTTCTCAGGCTGTCATTAGCACGCATTTGATAGCAACCCACGGCCTGTACTGGCCAAGCACTATTACCTGCTCCTGCCCAGCAGTCATTTACTTCATGACTTTTGACAGGAGACTGTTAGACATCTGCAAATTCTAGACCAGTGGCCAACGTTTCAGCTGCGCAAACCTGTGTTTGCCTTGCCCATTCTTCTGCTCCATTTCAGCACTGTCGTAACCTCTAAAAGGCGAGTATTACTTTGAAATGTGTGTACTGCAAAGGTTGCTCACTGGACAGAAGCCCTAGGGAGAGGCTGGAAATGGTTTGTACCTGGTTTACCACAGTATCACAGTGACCTACGTATCCCAAGAAACAACTGAGCCTGGAGTCTATTGAATCCTGACCCTTTTCTAAGGGTAAAGTAACATCCTGTGAGAACACCACAAGTAAAATGCTAAACTAAACTAAAAAAATAAAAAAAAAAATCACACTTGCCATATGTCATGGTTAGTGTGTTTTTAGAGCAAGATTCATGTTATCCTAAAGTAGGTATCTAAAGCAGATGACATAAAAATAGTACTTTTTTTTAAATGGTATTTATTTCTCACCACTGACTATGCAAAGAGCTGTGGATGAACAGCTGAGATGCTGCCATTTATACTGAAGATGCTTAAAAGTGAAAATAATCTTGTCTAGTGTGTTGTTTTGATTTTTATGAAAACAAATATTGCAAAAGGCAAAGCTTTTTTGCAAAGAGCTCTTTTGCATATTGTTGTAGATATAGTCTATAGGCACATTACAAATAGGTAATATTGTTTTGAACTTACTAAAGTATTGATGTCTTTAGTTACAATTTTTAGAGGAAAAATGTATTGCACAAAAAAATTCTCCCATTTAAAATGCGTTTTTTTGGGCCTCAGGAACCACAAAGAATACAAAATGTCTAGGACTCTGCCAGAAATCAGTGTATATGGTGACAAAATGTGCTGTAACTATCCATGCTTTTAGAGTTTATTACTAGATGAGTTAATTTTTGAGGTGTAATGATGTGAAACTTTTAAACAAATTTATTATACAATAACAACTGCTTTTAGAATTGGTTGCTCATCTATTTAATTTCCTTTTTGTCCTTTGAGAATTTGATCAGATTAACTTCATGAACAAGAGTCAGATTTGTGTGTGAATCTCCAGGGCTGTGTTCTTCTGTGCTAAAGACTATGAAGATAAAGAAATGATTCCTTCTCAGAAAGCATATTAATGTACAACAATTTCACAGAAGCTCTTTTAAAGGCCTTTGAGATCCCATACTTACCCGGAATAGGGCAGTACTGGGTTCTGTCACTTTCATTGGTGATTATCTACTGATAATCACATTCAATGCTTTCATCACGGATAATCTATTTAATGTTAGTCACTGAATAAAACCCAGAAATAATCTACTGAGCACAAGCCCCCATCTCAGGCATTTTCTCTTGCACATGATTACACCTGTCCTGTGTGATTTACAATGAGCCATGCTCTGTTCTGTAAAAAGGCCCAAGTTAATGGAAAGGTGAAAAATGTCTGTTTTCCATCCTATATTACAGCTGGTTAGTCACAGTGCCTCTTACAAACGTCTTTAGAAAGTCTTCCAGGAAACGCTAAGCTCCAGCTATGCAAGTCTATAGGAAGAAAATCATTGCTCCCCATGGCTGAGTTTTTCACACAGAGCCCATGTGGATGCCTCGTGACAAGTACTCTCAAATGTGCCCTAACCTCCCCAAAGCAGGATAGTGTCTGAAATTTTTCCTCAATACATAACAAAAAATGATTGTTTAACATAAACACAACCATCTGGAAATGGAAATCAGAAAATAATACACAATTTACGAATTGATACAGAACTGTCCAACTTGGCTATATGGCCTCTCTGCAATTCTCAGTCCCATCTTCTTCCTCTCTACGTAGCATTTACATAACCCTTTTCCCTAC